TTCCCTCATCAACCTTGTGTGGGTGACCTTGGTCTGTAAAATGCGCTATTTAAATAAACATTACTACTACTTACATGAGGAATTGAAGAAAAAGAGAACTGAAAATTATATGTAATTTAATAAAATCCAAATGCAGAGTGACAAAAAACACCAAATTCCAGAAAAAACAAGACAGAGACAATCCAGGTATAGACAATGAACGGACAATGAAGTGGGAAAAAGCATAGAGTATAAATACACACAGGAGGCACACAGATGGATCACAGGAGGGCGGGGCTAATAATCAACAAGGCAGGAAGAAAAATAATCCAAAAAGTCCACACCATGACAATTGTAGCTCAAAGAAAACCTGAGTTGAGGGTTTGAAATGTGCTGAAGCATCTTTAATGTGGACACAATGTGAGAAGCAGATTTGTGTGTCCATTATTCCCTCTTTGTGAAACTCCATTTGTTGAAAAGACAGAGCCACAGACGCCGCGTCCAGTTCAAAGAGAAACTCTCGTGAAAAAGAATCCATCTCCGCTTCAAACACACACAGAGAGTCATACACACACACACACACACACACACAGAGAGTCATACACACACTCGAATACACACACAGACAGAGAGACATTCACACTGACACAAAGACGCAGAGGCACACACACAGAATCAACTACGCACATCCACAAACAGACACACACCAACACACATGCATGCACACACACACACACACAAACACACATAGACACCGGTGGGGGCAGGTCCCGGCTCAAAAATGGCCAAAATGACGTGCGCTGACATGCCTCTCAAAAACATCTTTACAGGATGGTCCAAAAGTTGCCTCTTGGTCCAAAGCTCCGTTCCACATGTGTGTCAATGCTGAGGGGGGTGGATTTTTTTGGTCCACTCTAGTTTACTTGCTGTGAATTTTTGAAGTCTCTCGTTCAAATGAATGGAGCTCTCCCCGGCTGACGCATGCGCAGATGCGTTTTTTCACAATTTTTTTGTGGGCGGGACCACTCGCGGCCATTTTGGATAGCTCCAGTAGAGCACAATTTTTGGCCCATTAGTTAGAACGGCGGAGATAGGCGTGACTACGTCTGTTAATATATACAGTCTATGATAGACACACACACAAAGACACACATCTGCACTCAAACGCAACCACTCAAACACACACACACAGACTCAAACACGCACAGCCACACACCAACACACATGCATGCACACACACACACACACACAAACACGCAGAGACACACACACAGAGACTCAAACGCACACATCCGCACTCAAACACACACACACACAGAGACACTCAAACACACACACTCAAACATACACACACACACAGACTCAAACACACACACACACACACACAGAGACACTCAAACATACACGCACACACACATCCACACTCAAACGCACACACTCAAACAGACACAAACAAACACACACACGTGGAGACACTCAAACACACACACACATGCAAACATACACACACACACACACGGGTCTGGAAAAGTGTGCTGGTTTGTGCCGCACTCTGGGACGCAGCAGAGGCCGGTGGTAAAACACTTGAGAGACGTCCTGAGTTCAGAGAAAACAGAATAAACCTGATTTTATAAAAATCTTTGGAGAAACTGAAAACTCACAAAGTCCATGAAGTCTTCTGTTTATCATCCATTCATCCATTCATTCTTCTAAACAGTTTTCTGTTTATCATCCATTCATCCATTCATTCTTCTAAACAGTTTTCTGTTTATCATCCATCCAAAGTCATTCACATTCACTGTATTTGCGTATCGCCCTTAATTCAGGTTAATTTTTTTTGCCATTGGCAGTAAAACTACATTACACTACTGATTCCTCAACAGCAGATCAGAGAATCAAACAGTTAGAACCATAGACTGTATATATTAACAGACGTAGTCACGGCAATCTCCGCCGTTCTAACTAATGGGCCAAAAATCCGGCTCTCATGGAGTGATTCAAAATGGCCGCGGAGGCTGGAAAATGTGAAAAAACACACCTGTGCATGCGTCAGCGGCACGAGCCCCATTCATTTAAACGAGTGACTTCAAAAATTCACAGCGAGTAAACTAGAGTGGTAAATCAATGATTTGGGGGATTTTAGTATTTACTTAGGCACCTGGAGTTGCCTTCTTTTATGTAAGGGATAATGTATCCTGCTGCGCGTCAGGGTCCGCTTCGCCCTGAAAGTACTTATTTTCCAATAATGACCTGCCTACGACACATTATCCCGCTTATTACATGCCTTTGTACCAACTGAACACACAACATAAACTTCAGTCCACTTTTATGAATGCTGAAAGGATTATTTCATGACTGTAAAAAAACAGTTCCCAAAGGTTGTGCTGTACCGTGGCTACAGTAGGCGAGTAACAGCTAGGCTAGCTACTGTACTTCCAAACTAGAACTCTCTTGAACTGCATGAAAACTGAACAAAGAATTGTGAACATCAGCGGTGAGTGACCCAAACATAAACTCAACCTAAATCCATAATCATAACCTCTGCAAATGCATCCTAAAATTTATTCCGGAATTACCACGATCGCTTTTTGTCGCAGTATTTTTGTCATGAAAACCTAAACAGATCATTCTAAAAACCTCCGTGCATGTATAAAGTATTCTCTGATTAACATTGAAATGTGTTGATTAATTGTTATTTATGTTTGTTGAGCTCCGATAGCTTCTCTCACAGAGGCGGTAGTAGTGACGTAGCTCGTTGTGACGAAGTGGCCGGAACTACTTGCGGAGTAATCTACACACATGAATTACAAGAGATTGTGTTGCCAAAGGGCAGCGGCAAATATTGTTTTGAGAGATCGGTTATCAAAAAATAATGCCCGGTAGAACGTTTTGAAAAGACATTCAAATCAATGGAGCGTTCTACTGCTGCTGTGAGGAGCCGTGTGATAAACTTTGTTAATGCAAATTGCTAAATCAAAGATGTATGACAGTGTAGAAAAACTTATTGAAATATTCAAGGATTCCTTAAATTTAGGCCGTAGAACTGATGAGGCTCCAGACTTCCCAGCTCACCTGGGAGAATCCTAATCCAAGGCGTTTTTTTTGCCATAGGATATTATTTGCCATTCTAACACATGAAAAGCCAAAGTGAATCATTTTATATCTGTTTGTGTTCAAGGGCCATGAATAATGCATAATGTTTGTGCTCCTGTTTAAGGCCTGGTCCCGCTGCGCTGGTGAATTACTTGAGTTCTTCCTCACTCTGAGCTCCTCTCCAAACTCCAAACTGTAACAATAGGGTGCCAGAACCTGAGCTGAACCCCAGCCGAGCTTCTTATGAGCAGAAAGATGGAAAATGCTAATGTCAGGGATATTAATAGTTATGAAAACAAGAGGAGCAGCGGCGCTGTTGCAAAAGGTTCCACTCAGACTTCATTTCTCCATGATCCAGTCACAACGTTTGTGCACAGAGTCTTGGCCATGTTTTTGTGTGATGTCCAAGATAAATCTTCCCAATATCCGTACTTCACAACAGCAGGCATCTCAGAGGACTTAACAAAGTTGTCAATTCATCGACAACAAATAAGAACAGGCTGCAGATCGAGGACTGAGGCTGCAGACTCATGCGAAGGCTGTAAGCCCACGACTGAGGTTGTAGACCCAGGACTGAGGCTGTAGACCCAGGACTGAGGCTGTAGATCCAGGACTGAGGCTGTAGACCTAGGACTGAGGCTGTAGACCCTGGACTGAGGCTGTTTGTTCCAGGACTGAGGCTGTGGAGGCTGTAGATCTAGGACTGAGACTGTAGATCCAGGACTGAGACTGTAGATCCAGGACTGAGACTGTAGATCCAGGACTGAGGCTGCAGATCTAGGACTGAGGCTGTAGATCTAGGACTGAGGCTGTAGATCTAGGACTGAGGCTGTAGATCCAGGACTGAGGCTATAGATCCAGAAATTCGTCTGCAATAACAATAATAATGCATCAGTTTTTATACAACTCTTTTTTGGACTCTCAAGGACACTTCACATCTCATCACTCTTTCACTCCATGCACTGTGGAGATAAACTACCACTGAAACAAGCCGTTTAGTTTTATTTCAAGTGCTGTAGCAATTTTTTTTTCTCATTTTGAAACTTTTACTGTGGAGGAAGCCAAGACAGGCCATGCCGGTGATGTGACGGCCTGGCCTGGCTTCCTCATCATCCCCACCACCACCACCGCCACCACCGCCACCTCCACCAACACCAACACCCAGGGAGAATCCTCCTCTCCTGACTCAGAGTTAGGTCCAAGAGCTGACTTTGTAGTGCAGGCACACCAGAGTGTTTTGAGAGAAAAAAAACCTATGTGTTTAGGCTGTAGTACCAGGCACACCTTGAAAAATGTGGACACGATTATGTATGCCGACGATACGGTAATTTTTACACAAGCCAAAAGTGCTGACAATGAAGCTTATCAGCTTTCATTAGCCTTGAATGATTTACAAAAGTGGCTGAATGAGTCTGGATTGTGTCTTAATATTCAAAAGACTGTATCAATGTTTTTACTAAACCTAAAACACCTGTGGCCACAGTAAAAGTTTTCTTGAGTGGAAAAGAATTAACTAATGTTGAGGAATTTAACTATTTGGGAGTGCTAATAGACACAAAATTATCCTTCAAAAATCACGTGAAAAAATTGTGAAAACTGTTAATTTTAATATGCGGAACTTCAGACATATCCGGACATCATTGACGGACACAGAAGCAATCACATTCATGCACTCTATGATACTGCCTCATATTGAGTACTGTATCACAAGCTGGTCTCATTAGAGTCATGCTGCTATTGGTCCAATTGAAGTATGTTACAAAAGAGCTTTGAAAATATTGGACAAGAAGCCTTCGTCGTACCACCACTGTCAAATCTTAGACAAATACACATTATTAAATTTTGATAATTTCAAATTGTTTAAATCAGCATGCCTAATCTACAAGGTTATACTTGGTCTAGCGCCTCCACCAATGAGTGATTTTATTAAACAAAAGTCTAGTAGAGCTGCCAGGTCTCGAGTGACTCGAACTACTGCGAGAGGCGACTGTGAACTTGCATTTAGACGGACCGCTTTCTCACAGAACGTCCTGTCATATCAGGGAGTGAGCTTCTGGAATAGTATTCCGGTGTCAGTGAGGGAAAGAACCAGTCTGCCTTCAGGAGTCACTTAAAGATGTGGCTGAGGGACACCCAAACATGTGATCATGTTTAGATATTCATGATTATAAAACAGACGTGGAACTGAGCTGGTGCTTTGCAAAAAGAAAAAAAGGCAAACGATTATCATTGTAATGTGGGCTGTGCAATACAGGTCAGTATAATGCGGGTCAGTGCAACATAGAGTGATGCAATACAGGTCAGTATAATGTGGGTCAGTGCAATAAAGAGTGGTCCAATACAGGTCAGTATAATGTGGGTCAGTGCAATAAAGAGTGGTCCAATACAGGTCAGTGCAATATAGAATGGTGCAATATGGGTCAGTGTAATATCAGGTCAGTCAGGGCATGTGCAATACTCGGGTTTGTGTAATACAGATTCTGTGTTTCTGTTTGTGCTTTACTGTCCACTCTTGCTGCTTGTTCTAACATAATACGATCACTGTTCCTGTCCCTCTGTATATACATAGTGTGTCTGTTTGTTTTTACTAACTTGTGTGCATCACTAACCTGCCAGGGGGTCTGCAGATGGAAATTAGCCTAAAGCTATAATCTGGCATATTTACATTTGTGAAAAATGTTCATTAATATGTATTGTTCCTCCTTTCTCAAATAAATAAATACATAAATTCCAAGAGAGACATTTCCTGAATTTCATTGTACCATTCTAAAACAAGACACTTTTGCTATAATCCCCTTTGCAAATCTCATTTTTTGTTAGCCAAAATGTGCTCAAATTATGATGAAAACATTCGAGCAATTATTCCCTGATTTGTTGTTATTTTTTAGCGGTCTTTCCTCCGACAGTGCCATGTGATATGTTAAGGAGCCTGATTATGATGTTCCAGTGCGGCAGAGAGACAGAGGCCAGGCCGAGCAGTGAAAGCAGCCCTTTCAAACCGCCGCTGAATGCTCTCTTTATCCATCGCAGGAGACTCGAGCGCAGATTGTGAGAAACACCTCTGACCTCGGTGCAATCATTCAAATTGTGTCCGGAGAAAAACGTGCAATTAGGGCGCGCAGGAGCCAAGAGGAGCTGCTCACGGGACCCCCACAGGAAAATGACTTAGTACAGTGCTTTTCTTCTTGACATGACATGTACATTACAGTGTTTCACATCATACATTGACACTTCGTCCCGATTTTTTTAATAAATGACAATAACACATTATAACACAAATAACACGCAAAACGTAGCATGACAAAACTTGGGGATTTAATATTCTGTTTTCAAATACAAATCTTATCGTCCTCACAAATTTAAGGGGATGTTTGTATATTTTTTAATTTTTATGTTTCACTTTTCAGCCTTATTCTTGCTGTCATTTTCTCCATTGTAAAAATATCTTTCATCACCATCCGCACTAGCCTGGGCTTATCCATCCGTACACTCCGCTCAATCATCATTTACCTGCATGTAACGTCTGGGTCTGGTCCCTGTGTTAACGATTACGGTTGAATTCCATCCGACCAATCAGAGAGCACGGGAGGTGGGTGTTGTTGGTGATGTCAAGAGTTTGCGCTGAACGGGCAGGTTTTAGTTTGGCAATGGCGAAGAATGCGATAGAACCAGACCAGAATACTTTACTATCAAGAAATTGAAGCCGGAACAAGAGGAATGTTTAGCAAATTTGATTGCTGGCAAAGATTGTGGCGCTACTCACCACGGGCTCCGTTAGCGGCCAACGACTCACTCGAGCACATTACATACGTCACAGTAAACTCAGATCCAATCGTTTCAATCTGCAAAATGAGTTAACCCCTCCCACCTGTTCACGAAGCTCAATGGAGCATCTCCAGACCTTAGTAAAAAATGTAATCTGTACTATGGTGTGGTACGACCAGGCTACATCCTCACAAACAAAACAAATAAATGTATAATTTTAAAAACTGATAATAGTAACAGTAATAATAAGAAACAGCACTTCAGGTCACCGCAGCAGAGGTGGAGCAGCCGCTTGGTTTGGACCATTTTCTCTGCACTGGTCCAAAGTAATATGCTATATGCTTTGTAAGCATTTCTCAAAAAATAATCAACACTTATGGACATTGGTCAACTCCCCATGGACCAACACCTATCTGGTCTATATTTTTGGTGTTTGAACTGTTTGACTCGCTGATTTGTGTCTGAGTTTTTGGTTTTCTAAAATCCTACTGCGAACTACTGTGACTTAGGGCTGTACAAGAATACATTGAATTGATTGACTCATTTTGACATAAAACAGACACAATACATTTAATACTATAGAGACAGAAAACATTTTTTACACATACAATACAGGTTTTTCCCCCTCAGCTCTATACCTCTACAATAAAACTGCATTCAGAAAACAAATAATTTCCATTTACAATCACCAGATACAGTCATTTTGTGATAATTACTTCCTTCACCACTGCCTTCTACTTTCACAAAAAGTCCAATCAAATGTTTGTGTTTGATATTGACTGAACAATAGTAAATGCATGAATACTTTTCCAGACACAGTGTCTGGAAAAGTATTCATGCATTTACTATCGTTGTCATTGTTATTGTTTGTAGGTAAGGCAAGTTTATCTATATAGCACAGCTCATGCACAAAACAATATAGAAACGATACAAGCCATTACAATCATAAATAATCACCCTACATTCAACAAGAGTAAAGTTAAAATCCCTCACACCTGAATATTTTTAACCTGGATTAAAACAAGAAGAAGTCAGAGAAGAAGTCTTAACATTTTAGGGAAGACTGTTCCAGATTTTAGCTGCTATAATCTGAAATGCTGCCTCCACATTTGTTTGTAGCTATGCATTCAATACATGCTGTCTTTAGGTAGATGTCTTGTCCCTCCTGGACCTCTGTAAGACCAGTAGCTGTCTCTGGTCTGTGCTGACGTGTGTGTGGTTGTGTGTGTGTATGTGTGTATTCTGTCAGTCCGGGGTCAGGGCCTGTGCTCCGGCCCCGTGCTGCTGGCCTCCTCTGGGGACTGGACCCTGTTTGGAGCTGTCTGTGACCTGCACACGCTGAGAACTGTCTGACAAACGGCCCGTCACTAAAGCCTTTTCACACAGGCTTTTCAACTACGTCCACCGCAAAACATGTCAATAACACGTGTGGCACGAGACCACGGAGTCCCAGGATCATACAATAAAGCACAAACCATATATTTATTCAATTCCATGACCAAGTTACTGAAAAGCAAACATGTGACGATGATCTTAGAAGCCGTCAGATAACCAGTTTTTCAATACGTCCTTTATAAATGAATGTATAGGATAACGCTCTTTTCTAATGCACTGCGAAGGCCGAGTTTTGAACCTGTGATAAAAATGGAACTCGACATCTTTAGAGCAGAGGGAGAAGCTGAATAATATCGGCAACTTCTCAGACAGAAAGACAGTTACCACAAACTGGGCACAAACTATGGATATAATCTGGAGAGGGTTTTACTGCTCAAGTCAGGTTCCAAATATAAAGGAAGGCCATCTGTGGTACTGCAGCCTAATAACACCAGGGCAAGACAAAAAACACGTCTCTTAGATCTCAATGGTGTCGCAAAGGGCTCATCCTCAGCTGTCATAGAACCTGCAATCAAAGGTCAGATTCAGAGGAGATTTTGTTGTCCCTTGTCGCTTGAAATCCATCTGTTTCCTTGGAATTATAATCCACGCTTTTGTCCAACAAGCTCGGCTCGTTCTCGTCTGCTCTTATCTGCACGTTCGCAGGTCAGCGTTGTCCTAGTGCTTCTGATCAGTCAGCGCTGATTGGTCACGACGCAAACATGTTCTGCACAAGACCAGGAGGACCGGAGCCTGAAATGTATCAATTTGGTTAATATTTGTAGCGTCCACGGTGAGACGATCCACCAATGATATGACTGGACAGAAAAAGATCCGGAGTTAAATGTCGATTGTAGATTTATAAGTCATTGCACTAGATCAGATGTCTCCAACTCTTCACCCAGAGAGCTGCTTCCCTGAGATAAAAAATCATAACTACTCCTGTAAGCCGTCCTGAGCCTATATATTGGTCTCTCACCAATATATATGTTTGATATTGAGGGATTAATCATTACTAGTGCACAAAAGTTGCACAAAGTTGCACGTTTGCCTATATTACAATGGTTTGTTAATTTCTAAATCCTTTGTGGAGCTACCTGGAAGGGGGTGGGGAGCTACTGGTGGCTCTCGGGCAGCAGATTGGAGACCTCTGAACACGACATAGATTACTTTAGACTGAAGCTATGGGCAGGGAGAGTCTGGATGCGAACCGTACATCCTGAGGTGTTTGGGACACTATAAAACCATGTGACGAAGCAGAAACACATTCAAATGTAACAATATCATGTGAGCAGGCACTCAGAGCTGAGGCGGTCTGCGATGAATGAAGCTCTAAATCCCCCCTGAGCCCAGGCCTGGCTCTGGGCTCTTATCAGCACTACACTGGATCTATGTGAGGCCAGGCGCACGCTTTCATCACTCTGTGCAGGGCTTGGAGTGGTCTGGGGGAGAGTGGGAGGTTTACGAGAGCAGTCTGACCTCACATAAGAGCTACGAGAGCTGTGCGGCCGAGAGCAGCTCCGTCACTCAGAAGGAATGAGGATCACAAGAGTCGAACATCAGTAAACTGCTCACAAGCATGTTTGATGTATACATTGTTATTATTCTTATATCAAGCGCCCCCCAAACCCAAAGGAAAGACTGCAATCTGCAACTCCACCCTCCTACATCTACAGGGTTGATACACCTTCTGTTTAATCTATTTTAGTTTCTGACATCCCAAATAAAAATAGAAATGGGGGGCTTTTTCTGTTTTCTGATACATGAAGCAAATTTTGAAAAATCTGCGTTTTCCATTGAATCACGGCCGTAATATTGGATTTTGCATTGTTTCCTTGTAAAAACCAAAATACACAATATCATGAATGTTTTAATATTCACTGTATTCCTCCATACTGCCCCAGCCGCTGCAGTCCCTCCGACGCATCTTGCAGAAACGAAAATAGAATGAACGGAAGGTACACGGACCCTACAGCATATGTTCTCAACTGAACAAATCTCCTTCTGGTTTTGGCACATTTAATTTAATTTTAGTCATCACGGCCACCATTTGTTGTCATTCATTTCCGCTACACTGCATAATAGGCTCTTTGGTATGTTGTGATGTCACATGAACACGACCACTGTTGGCTGGCCATGAAATATAGATGAGATAATCCTTGACGTCTCTCAGAGGAACAACATAAGAACTACAATGTGACTTAGGGCAACCCTCTTCAGAATTTCAGTTGATTGACATGCAGATCAGCCTATTGCAAGTGCTTATGTTCTGTGTTCAATCAAGAGTTAATTTAGGCCAATCGGAAGTTGTACGAGAACACTTTGCTAAGTTTATCACCGGTGTTTTTGGACCTCATGTTTGGACTGAAGTCACATGAACCCTGCTGTTCCTTGTACACTGTTCCTAATGCTGTTATAACAAAGGCGAGCTGCATGTATATTTTAGGCCCATTTATATGTTTGCTCCTTTGTGTCTGAGTGTTGCTAATAGCTAATATGCTAACTACTGATGCGTTAAGTAGCTCAGTAGCTCATTCTAATTTAGACTTTCTGTTGTTTGCAGGACCACACACACACACACACACAACCACGCAGATACAGAGACATGTTGTAAATAAGTGTGCAATGAAGAAACTTTAATAAACCCTTTAACTGGATCATCTCAAATGTATTCTAACTGACGTTCCTGTTACGAACCAGACAAACTCTCCCCACAACATACAACAACCAATAAACTTTATTTATTTAGACATAATCATATTCATCTTTTATATAAACTTTTAAAACCTGTACAACCCAGGTCTGACTGTAAGAACAGAAAAATAACATTGTTCAAAGATATATTGCATTTAGATATTTTATTTCTTTATTGAATATGGACACAACAGTCCCATTGGTTCAGGATAAACAGCAGCAGGTGGAGGCTCATGTGGTCCGTCTCTTCTTGTGATGTCGCAGGTTACTGGTGGGAGCGCCGTATGAAATGAACGGGCCGTACCAGACTGGAGACGTGTACAAATGTTCGCTGAACGGGAGCGGCTGCACCAAACTCAACTTAGGTAAGAGCCCCTTCACCTCCCACATCACAGCACGATACATACAAGTGACTTATCTCTTTTAGCCGTGGCTCAGTTATTAACGTCTAATATCCCGGCTCCAAACTCACCCCTGCCGCATGTGGTTTTTGTGGATAAAGGCCACATGATATGATAGTTTATAGGTGTTGTTACGTATTGTCAATAAAACAGCATTTAGATAAATAGATGGATAATCTATTGATCCCTGTAATAGAAACACAGGTGTCCAGTAGCAGCAAAAACATGTCAATCCACACAAACAAAAAGAAATTGATCAAAAAAGCTGACAATAGTAATAATAAAATGCAATAGCACTTTAGGTCACAGCAGCAGAGGTGGTGTTACGGCTTGGCTCGTATCATTTACTAAAGTGGTCCAAAGTAAAATGCTGAATGCTTTGTTAGCATTTTTCAAAACGTTTGCATTCCTCCAGTGGATTTTCACATGATCTGCTTGGTTCGGACCATGAATCCTGCTCTGGTCTGGACCAGTGCAAAACCATGAACACTGTACTTCAGCAACATCTCAGGTAGAAAAAAAGCAATACAAATAATAATTGTAAAGCACAAAACAACAACTTTTTCAGAGATACTTAGGACTTGCTGCCGTTTCCAGCGCATTCAAAAGTAAAATGTACGTGCAGAACACAGTATACAGAGGTCAGAGAGTATGTACCAGCGCCACAAACCCTGGGACTCCCACATGAATCCCTTTGGTGTTCGACAGGGTTCAGCAAGATGGAGAAAAGAATCTTCCCTGCCAGAGTAAGATAGCATACGCCACTTTAAGCCGTATAAAATAGCTAACTCCTTCCTATATACACAAAATGAAATTATTCGTCACAAAACATTATACCAATAAATCATAAAGTCAGGTTCGTTACAATGAAAAAGTATTCTTGGTTTATGCCCCAAAGAAGAACCGGAGACAAACTGCAGACGGTGTGAGATGTGGGTGTGGCGTTACGCTATGAGCCACTTCAACTGAATTCTTGCTGCAGAAAACACTCTCTGGTCACATGTGCGAGCCAGCCGTGCTGTTCTATGCACACAACCACACGGACACACACAGATACGCAACCACACATGCACTAAAACATGTGTGTATACGTGCCCATGCTGAGCCCACACGTTTGTTTGAGTGCACTGCAAACACAAACACATCTACAGGAGTTAAACGCTAAGAATTTATTTGAGTTCAGTTGAATTCTTTTCGCTTATCGTCCTTTCTGCTTTGACCCCGGTGTTGTCCTGATTAGGACTTGGTTTTGGTCCTGGACTCGTCGGGGATGCTGGGGTGTTGTTCATCCCAACAGAAATAGTCTTGCGCAAGTAAAATCATATCTTTATAAAACATAGATGATGATAAGCGTCGCGTCTTTGCTCAGCCAATCAGCTCTGAGAGTCAAAAAGTGACTCAAGGGGCTCTTTTTTACAGGGAGAATAACATGTTTCTAATAAGATGAAGACGGCATGATGTGGTCTAATTTGTTAACAATATTATGCATTTAAGAGGATAAAAACATTTTTAAAAGGAGTTAGGTACCTCAGCTTTAATTGACCAGATCACAGTGTAATTCGAGCTGTAGATCTTGGCCAACAACAGATACCTATATTTTAAATTTACATTAGTGTCAAGACAACAGACAGCTGTGTGTTGCCATGGTGCACTCCAAAAGTCGGTAGCAAGAAAGCATGTCAGCAGTTAGCAAGTTAGCCGTTAGCAAGCTAGTGGCAAGCGGACGGGATCTCAGACGTATTGCAGTTTTTTAAAGTAAACAAGTGACAAGAGTAAAGCAGACTGAAAACTGCCCCGAGGTGGGTCCAAAACAAACTCGTATAACACTGGCAACTTGATCAAACATCTGAGAACTCAACATCGCACGGAGTATAACACCTTTGCTTGCACCGGAGCACAAAAACAATAAACTCTACACCATTTGTAGGTGCGGAATATGACAGTGGCTCTTATTGTTGACTGTTAAAACAATTGCTTAAATGTTTATCTGTTAAAACATTTTCTTCTTGCTGAAATGAGAAATAACACATTTTCAATTTCAGTTGTGTTAGTTTTATGAATTCCCAGGGATAACACAATGCAGTGCTCGTAACAACATTCGTCAAGTACTCAAATTAAGATACTGATACAAAAGTGGTATTGGTGCATCTGTAGTTTAAAGTCAAAAACCACCACAGTCTCTCTCTCTATGTCACCGCAGCTGTGAGGCCATACTACTACAGTCTGTTTGTAGTCTAAATGGGCAGCACAGTGGCTGAGTGGTTAGCACTCTTGCGTCCTGTGTTCGAATACCAAGCATGTTCTTTCACGTGCTCGGGTTTCCCCTCCCACTATAAACATGTGCAGTAGGTCAAATCCTCCATCTCCGGTGGTTCTGACCAAGCCGATTATCAACATCTGCTACAGACTGAGGCCCTGGAGGCAATGAAGGATGGGTCAAATGCAGGGACACATTTCCATACTGGGACAACAAAGTATTACTTAAATATATCACAAAATTCATCACAGATTACTTTGCCTTGTCGACTGGTTTGGTCCTGTTCGCTTGTTTCCAGATGTTGAGTTTTGTTTGTTCAGTTCGTGTGCGTATGAATGTGTATGTGCATAAGTGTATGTGTGTGTGTGTGTGTGTGTGTGTGTCTGTGTGTGTACTCAACGTCAAAGCATCTTGTCAGCAGAATGTGTTTTTCCCTAAGGAAGGATATCTCTGACCAACGTCTCAGAGCGCAAAGACAAGATGAGGCTGGGCATGACTCTGGCCTCCAACCCCAGAGACAACAGCTTTGTGGTAAGCTTCTCTCTCCACTTACAGTCAGGTTTTCTCTTTAAGCATTATTACAAGAATTTTCCAAAGCGCGACGGTAGTGCAAACTGCAAAATACATCTCAATAATCATTACCAGAGCCGCAGGCAAGACGTGGTCTGGGGGGCTCTGTTTGCAATCAGGGGCATAACTTGCGGATAACTTGCCTCTTCTAATTTAATTGTATTGAACTAGACCCTTGTAAACCTGTGTGCGCTGAGGGAGGTGTAAAAAGAGCGGTTTGTTTGGTTTAATCAGATGTAATCATGACTACTGTAACTAAAGTGATACTACTGAGACAAGGCCAGCAGATACATTTAAGAGCTCAGGGATAATCCATGGAGAAACTAAAAGCGTGTTTGTTTTCGTTACAAGAGACAAAAGCAGGAAACTTCCTCTTCAGAAATTCAGTTTCAGAATCAGAATTTTGAAAGGTCGAGTCAGAATTTCGGTTAGTCAAATAGAATGACTAAGTGACAGTAGCTCAGTTGGTAGAGCATTGGCCTGTGGGCCTGGAGGTCATGGGTTTGAGCCCACTATGGGACCTACTCTAACTGCTCCCAAAAATGTCTACTGTCGTTGTGTCCTTGGGCAAGACACTTAACCCCACATTGCCTGAAGCCCCTGCTGAAAGACCAAGGCTGTTTCACCGCTGATGTAGCAGCCAACTTCCTGTGGACCCACCACCTGCAGAGGATCAGAGGGACTGGTGCTATGAGACTTGGGGGGCAGCTCTCATTGCCATCCCCCCGACCCAGAAATGGACAAATAAAGGGGTAGAAAATGAAAGAATGAATAGAATGACTTGTGTTGCTGTAAAAATCAAACACTCAAAAAACAAAATGTTGCGTGACTACATTTTCCAAAAGCACACTGTACAATAAATATCACGTGTCAAACATGAGGGCGAATCCGATCAACAAACTAATTATTATGATTAACATGTTTATGGTCATGTTTAACTTGAGCTTCCAAGGCATGGTATACCTCATTTTAAAGCTGATTCTCTCAAGAAAATAATCATGTCATTTAATGTGAATTTAAAGCTTAAAGGTGATTAAATAATCAATAAAATATATTGTAATAAAGTCAGATCAATCGACCATTGCAAAACTTTTTCACCTTTGGACAAGTGTTGGCTCAGTCCAAACCAACAGTAACTAAACTCTTTTGCTCAGTAATTTGTTCAGCTAATAATGCCCAATATTTTGGTATATACAAATTAATACATGTGTCAAATTACCCTCATAATGTAAAGAAGAACTTTACAAAATAAAAATTACTTTCTACTAAGAAAACATTTATTCCGCCCCTGATCAACTATTGATTTAAATTATGCCCCTGACCATGACGGCAATTTTATTTCCACATAGCGTCCCAAACTACATCCACATGTAGACCGAGACCAGACTGGGACCAGACTGTTCAGACCGATTCCGGAGCACAATGTAATATGCAGTGTTTTAGCCTCCTCTGTATTCCTCTGTTTGCAAACCTAAGAAAGGGATTGAAATTTGATCAGCACAAGATGTTTTTTAATCCTGGAAGAAGCTCTCACAAGCTCCCTGCACTCTCGCTTCTCAGCAAGAAGGTATTGCGTTCGAATCCCGGATGGAACAGGGCCTTTCTGAGTGGAGTTTGTATGTTCTCCCTGTGTCTGCGTAAGTTTCCTCCGGATGCTCCGATTTCCCCTACATCTTAAAACATGTACAATAGGTCTGGCATGTGCCTCCTGTACTGGCGACCTCATTCCCATCTCTGTGTAGAGTGAGAGACAAATGCCCACAACAGTTATAAAGTGCTTTGTGACTCAGTTTGCAAAAGGCGCTACATAAGTGAAAATGACTTAGATGACTTATTTACGTATGAGCTCGTGCTTCTCCCTGTGGGTCTTGTGTTCCAGGCCTGTGGTCCTCTCTGGTCCTATGAATGTGGCAGCTCTTACTACAGCACTGGTATCTGCTCCAGAGTCAACGCCAGCTTCAAGTTCTCCAGGACCATTGCACCGGCATTTCAAAGTAAGAGCAATGAAAACGAACACAAACAGGTCCAGAAACAAACAAAATGTACATGATAGATAGACACTTACATGTTTATGGTCATGTTTTTGTCATAACCTAACCCTAAGCCTGCCGAGAGAACCCTTTGCTAAGACCCTGTTTAGACCATAGACTGACCATGTGCTGATGTCACCCATAGTGTTAGCCTCAAAGCAGAAGAAGCCCATTTGAACCTAAGCTAGCTGGGGCCAATTTCCTTATGCAGGCCGTTTTTTTCTGACAGCATTAGAAAAGAAAACATTATCCCATAACAGCCGCAGACATGTTTGCTAAGGCGAGCTGGAGATTTACAAAGACAGTATTACAATATAAGCACCACAATCACAGAAAGCACTAAAGCATGGATTATTTAAAGCCGGTTACAGAGCTAGAGAAGTTTACTTTTCAATTCAAACAATAGAAACCAGAGTGATTTGGAGCAACACTTCCCCATTGGGCTTCATTGAGCTAGCAGGTTAGCATTGTCCATCTACATACAGTCAATGGAGGGTCTGAAGTTAATTCAGAAGAAAGGGAACCAGGCACAATAGACCATGTGGAAAAACCTGATCCAGCTTGCGCAGTTTGCATGTTCTCCCCATGTCTGCATAAGTTTCCTTTACATTTAGAAGAGAACATATTTTGATACGACATAATAGACACATAAAGCTTGTATTTTAGTTGCTTGATGTATATTTTGATGTGTCACTTTTATCTGAGCAGCACTTTGGCAACGTCTTTTATAGAAGGTGCTATCAAGATAAAGTGGATTGGATTGTAGGAGGAGTGAAAACAGCTTATGTAACACCATCAAGTCATGTAGAAGCACACAGAAGACATTCCCTGTTGATTCCCTTGTTGTTTCAAACCCTGTGTCGGCCAAACTTGAAACTTTGGAATATCAGCCCAGTCATTTATCATCACTTTTTATGTTTTGGTTTTGAGGTCAAATCATGTTGGCTTTGGCATCGCAAACATCCGCTCGGTCTACACACACACACACACACGCGCACACACACTCTGTCCTTTGGCCTGATGAATACTGTATATTTGCTGATTGGCAGGATGTGAGACCTACATGGACATCATGATCGTTTTGGACGGCTCTAACTCCATCTACCCCTGGTTCGAGGTCCAGGCCTTTCTCATCAACATTCTGCAGAAGTTCTACGTGGGACCGGGTCAGATTCAGGTGTGTAGACCGTGGACCGCTCACTACATGGGCTGAGACTGGAGGCCGGAGTGACGATTGTGTGTGTGTATCTCTGTGACATTGGTAAACAAGGAAACCCGTGGATAGATTCTTTATTTATCCTGTAAAGGGTTAATTCAGGCAACCATTAGTATCTGACACAATACAGAGAAAATATAAATACCACGATTGATGATGTTGGAGTAACATTTGTGCTATAGGGTTTTGTGTATAAATAGGTCATGTGTAATTTTTGCTTGTGTGCAATAATTTGAGGTGTGCAATTGTTGGATATGTGCAATAACGTGGACTCTAACATTGTGGATTTCGGTGGACCATTAAAGTGTAGCCTGTGCGGGTATGCCAGCTGTTTTTTCTTCTTTTCTTAATCATTGTTTTTGCTCGAAGTTTTAAAAAAAAAATTCCTTGGTTTATTTATTTCTTTTTTCTTCTGCACTTTGAACCTTAATTTGACCCCCTGAACATTGATGAAAAGTTGTGAAATTTTGCCCAAAATTCAGAACCGGTGAAAAATTAATTTTTTTGGTGTTTATTTTTATGGGACTAAAAAAATGTCAGAATAGCGCCCCCTACAAAAGTCAGTTTACATTGCGCCTATGGGAGGGGGTCGAAGGTCAAGTTTGTCGTAGAGCCACGAAATTCGGTACACATGTTCCTCAGGTCAAGACATGAAAAAAAAGTTATTATGGCTCCGCCCCCTGACAAACAGGAAGCTCATTAATTTAATTGGAAAATGGAAAAATGAAAATTGATCTTTTTCACACATGTCGGCTGGAAATTATCTCCTCCTCGGCCGCTTCACCGATTTGTCTCAAAATCGCTCCACATGGTCTAAACCCATGTCCCATCTATTATTGAATATAGAATTTGGATCAGTTAAACGGTGTCCGAGCAGCGGAGCGGCAAAATGTGACATTTTTTTCCCAATTTTTGACAAAAGTAAATTTGCTCCCATTTGCACAAAAAAAGTCAGATTTGCACACAATTTTAATCCATTGTTCAGCTCCAGGGTCTAGGTCATTTGAAAGTTGAAATATTGAAATTGACTCATTAGCGCCCCCTACAGACTATGTCAAAGTTTTACATGGGCCTAATAAAATTTAGTTTTTTCAAAATGTTTGAAATTTTGAACATAATTCTGTTTTGTCATCTGGATTCAAAAAGTCAATGACAACATATGATTATTTTTTACCCTGTTGCCGTGGCGATGACCAACACTCCCCTGTCTGTGTCTATGAGAAAATCGTTAAATCTCTGAAAAGTACACCTCGCTCAAAAATCAAACCAGCCTCGGCCGTTTCCCTAATTTGTCTGAAAATCGCTCCACATTGTCTCAACACATGGACCATCAATAGTTGCATATAGAGTTTTAATTAGTATTTTCTGTTGTTGTTGCTGTATTTAACCCTTATGACCCTGACACAGTAGGACACAGATGGAAATTAGTTTTTGGCTCTAATCTGGCATGTTTATGTGACGCTAGCTAGGCGGGATCTGACTAGTGGCCACTGACTGAATAGCAGTGTTGTGAGCAGAAGAGGATGGATCTGCAAGTAGCCAGGGCTGGGAATGAGGACAACTGATATGTACGTAATTAGGAATTTTATTGTATCGTATTAGTTCAATGGATAAAATATAAATGAACACAAAAAAATGCCTTAATGGAATTGTTCTCTTGGTGACACGTGACAGTGTTAGTTATGGTATGCACGCAGCTGATCATTAAAGAGAGGGACGCTTTTGTAGGAAGTTGGCTCCCAAAATAAAAGACTTTAGGACGTTAAAAGTTCAGTTAAGCATGTTATTTAAATACATTCACATTCATGTTCCTAATGGGTCTGTTCATTGACATGCACTGTCCCATTCAAATAAGTAAATGAGCTGAGCGCAGCAGAGAGAAAAGGTTTGCAGCTTGTGATGGGGTCCTCTCTGTCCTTGGGCGGGATGGTGGCCCTCTCGGCATCATGGGACTCAGATGTCCTCAAACAGACCCAGATGGAGGCGGAGCTCTGACCAGGCGCCGGAAGAGCTGTGTTGGATTTCTGGTATTGGCAAATCTACCTCGGGGCCTCGGTGCCTGTAGCTTGTGGGTGTCAAAGTCAAGGCCCACAAATGAATTATCTTAGCCCCCGGGAGGATATTTGATTAGAACCAGCCCGCAAAGAAAATACTGCATTATTGCTTTAATTTTCAGGATGTGTGTTTTCTCTTTGAAGAAATTTAGTTTTTCTCTGTGAGCTGTTGGATATTTGTTTACACTTGAAATGACTGCCAGAGCCATAGACAAATATTTCATTTCATAATTCAATAAGATACGGTTCACAGTGTTAGGTCTTGGTTCAATCTGCGATCCTTTTAATATGTTTTCATCGAACATTGAACCAGTCCGCCCCTGACTTTGACATCCCTGCTGTAGCTGCTTCCGCTGAGCCTTTTATTCGGCTGGATGTTTGTGGAGTGGTTTCTGATTCTACCATTTGCAGTAAAACCACATGGAGCAAAAGTACCTCTCGGCTCTGGTTCAGTGTTGAATCCCTGAACTCTATCAAGAAACAACAATAAAAAATTTGGAACACGCAAAAACACAAACGAATCTAAAGCTCAAACCGTTTCAGAGCTTCTTAGAACACGCTGCCGTTTCCAGTGCATTCAAATCAAAACAAAAGGCAATGCAAAGTTCATAGATGAGGTCCGACATTTTAAAAACTAAAAATGTTATTCTAATTACATGACACTGTAACTGTGTAAAAGGGTAAGTCTGGACTCTCCGTTATTATCTAAGCAATTCTACCAACTTTCAAACAAGCACAAAATATAATTTATCTAGTTTCGTCTTATTGAGAGAGTTTGGATCTATCACTATTTTTCACAGGCATGTACCGTTAGCTTCTTTCACATCTTTAGATCAAAAGCCAAAGCAATTACTTAATCTCCTATGACTTATATGGCAATAAAATGGATTCTGATTCTGAAAAGACTGGACCTCTCCTACTCAGTAAAGCTTGCCCAAGTGTCAAGTTTCTTTCGAGTTCTTTCTTATGTATGGATGTATTTCTTATTAGAGTTTGCAAAAGATAGCATGTTTTCTACTGAGTTGAAAACAGCCTCTTGTGGTCACATTTGTTTACAAACTCCCAAGATTTGTAGTTGGGACAAACAACATGGATTATCTGGACACAATTCTTGGGTTTTTATATTTTTTTAAGCTCTATGGCAGCGGTGGATTAAATAAAGTCGTCTGAATCAGAATCTGAATATTTGAATAGCGGCACCCCAGATTGATTGTGTCTAACGGTGAGTTTGTCGGGCAGGTTGGGGTGGTGCAGTACGGTGAGAAGGTGGTCCACGAGTTCCAGCTGAACGACTACAAATCCGTGGAGGAAGTGGTGAAGCGAGCTCGAAGCATCAACCAGAGAGGAGGAGAGGAAACCAACACCGCTCTGGGCATCAACACGGCCCGGTGAGTTCACTGTGGCACACACACACACACGCACACACACACATTTGGGTACTCCCTGATTCCTTTCATTTATAGAAAATACAATGCACCATAGACATAGAGTAAACACCAGATTGATTGAGTGTGGTGGGGTATGGGAGGGACAGGCTTTTATTTTATTGTAAGTTTTTTTGTCACGGTTTAGGTTAATTTCCTGTTTTATTTTGTGGTTTGTTACATTGGTAATGTTGGTACAGTGGTTTGTTGTGGGCGGCAGTCGAAGGCGGAGACCTCGGCGACCCAGTCCGCACACACAACATCTGGCTCTTGGGACGTGGAACGTCACCTCACTGGGGGGGAAGGAGCCCGAGCTCGTGGGGGAGGTTGAGCGACACCGACTAGAGATAGTCGGCCTCACCTCCACACACAGCTTGGGCTCTGGAACCCAACTCCTTGAGAGGGGTTGGACGCTCCACTTTTCTGGAGTTTCCCGCGGGGAGAGGCGGCGAGCTGGGGTGGCCATTCTCATTGCCCCCCATCTCAGCCGCCATGTGTTGGAGTTCTCCCCGGTGAATGAGAGGGTCGCGTCCCTCCGCCTCCAGGTGGGGGACAAGTCTCTCATTGTTGTGACGGCCTACGGGCCTAACAGCAGTGCAGAGTACCCGGCCTTCTTGGAGTCCTTGGGAGGGGTACTGGACGGTGCACCGCCCGGGGACTCCGTTATTCTCCTGGGGGACTTCAACGCCCATGTGGGAGTCGCCAGTGACACTTGGAGAGGGGTGATCGGAAAGAACGGCCCCCCTGATCTGAACCCGAGCGGTGTTCAGTTGTTGGACTTCTGTGCCAGTCACAGTTTGTCCATCACGAACACCATGTTCGAGCACAAGGGTGTCCACCAGTGCACGTGGCACCAGGACACCCTAGGCCGGAGGTCGATGATCGACTTTGTTGTCGTATCATCTGACCTTCGACCGCGTGTCTCGGACACTCGGGTAAAGAGAGGGGCGGAGCTGTCAACCGATCATCACCTGGTCGTGAGTTGGATCCGCTGGCAGGGGAAGAAGCCGGTCAGACCTGGCAGACCCAAGCGTATAGTGAGGGTCTGCTGGGAACGTCTCGCTGAGCCCCCTGTCAGACGGACTTTCAACTCGCACCTCCGGGAGAGTTTCTCCCAGGTCCCGGCGGAGGAGGGGGACATGGAGTCCGAGTGGACCATGTTCTCTGCCTCAATCGCCGATGCGGCGGCTCGTAGCTGTGGTCGCAAGGTCTCTGGTGCTGGTCCCGGCGGCAACCCCCGAACCCGGTGGTGGACACCGGCAGTAAGGGATGCTGTCAGGCTGAAGAAGGAGTCCTATCGAGCCATGATGGTTCGGGGGACTCCTGAGGCAGCTGTCCAGTACCGGCAGGCCAAGCGTGCCGCGGCCCGGGCTGTTGCAGAGGCAAAAACCCGGGACTGGGAGGAGTTCGGAGAGTCCATGGAGCATGACTATCGGTCGGCCTCGAAGAGATTCTGGCAAACCATCCGGCGCCTCAGGAGGGGGAAGCAGTTCTTTGCCAACACCATGTACGGTGCGGGTGGAGAGCTGCTGACCTCGACTGGGGATATTGTCGGGCGGTGGAAGGAATGCTTTGAGGTTCTCCTCAATCCCCCCGTCACGTCCTCTGTTACAGAGGCAGAGGCTGAGGATGTTGGGGCGGATACATCTATCTCCCTGGCTGAGGTCACCAAGGTGGTTGGTAGCCTCCATGGTGGCAAGGCTCCGGGTGTGGATGAGATCCGCCCTGATTATCTAAAGTCTCTGGATGTTGTAGAACTGTCTTGGCTGACACATCTCTGCAACATCGCGTGGCGATCGGGGGCAGTGCCAATGGAGTGGCAGACCGGGGTGGTGGTCCCTCTCTACAAGAAGGGGGACCGGAGGGTGTGTTCCAATTATCGTGGGATCACACTCCTCAGCCTCCCCGGTAAGGTCTACTCCAGGGTACTGGAGAGGAGGCTACGGCCGATGGTCGAATCTCGGATTCAGGAGGAGCAGTGTGGTTTTCGTCCCGGTCGCGGAACACTGGACCAGCTCTATACTCTCCATCGGATACTCGAGGGTTCATGGGAGTTCGCCCAACCTGTCCACATGTGTTTTGTGGATTTGGAGAAGGCGTTCGACTGTGTTCCCCGGGGTGTCCTTTGGGGGGTTCTCCGGGAGTACGGGGTCGGGGGTCCTCTGCTGAGGGCCATCCGATCCCTGTATGACCGGAGCCAGAGCTGTGTTCGCATTGCCGGCAGTAAGTCAGACCTGTTCCCGGTGAATGTTGGCCTCCGACAGGGCTGCCCTTTGTCACCGGTTCTGTTCACTGTATTTATGGACAGAATATGCCAGGGGTCGGAGGGGGTCCGGTTCGGAGACCACAGGATTTCATCTCTGCTGTTTGCGGACGATGTTGTCCTGTTGGCTCCAACGAACCAGGACCTGCAACATGCACTGGGGCGGTTCGCAGCCGAGTGTGAAGCGGCTGGGATGAGAATCAGCACCTCCAAATCCGAGGCCATGGTGCTTGACCGGAAAAAGGTGCCTTGCCCTCTGCAGGTGGGTGGAGAGGTCCTTTCTCAAGTGGAGGAGTTCAAGTATCTCGGGGTCTTGTTCACGAGTGAGGGAAGAATGGAGCGTGAGATTGACAGGCGGATCGGTGCAGCGTGCGCAGTGATGCGGTCGCTGTATCGGACCGTTGTGGTAAAGAGGGAGCTGAGCCGAAAGGCAAAGCTCTCAATTTACCGGTCAATCTTCGTTCCCTCCCTCACCTATGGTCATGAACTTTGGGTAATGACCGAAAGAACGAGATCGCGGTAACTACAAGCGGTCGAAATGAGCTTCCTCCGCAGAGTGGCTGGGCGCTCCCTTAGAGATAGGGTGAGGAGCTCAGTCACATGGGAGGAGCTCGGAGTAGAGCCACTGCTTCTCCACGTCGAGAGGAACCAGTTGAGGTGGCTCGGGCATCTGTTCCGGATGCCCCCTGGACGCCTCCCTGGGGAGGTGTTCCGGGCACGTCCCACCGAGAGGAGGCCCCGCGGAAGACCTAGGACACGCTGGAGGGACTATGTCTCTCAGCTGGCCTGGGAACGCCTTGGGGTCCCCCCGGACGAGCTGGAGGAAGTGTGTGTGGATAGGGAAGTCTGGGCGTCTCTGCTTAGACTGCTGCCCCCGCGACCCGACAACGGATAAAGCGGAAGAAAATGGATGGATGGATGGATGGTTTGTTACATCCCTTTGGTCCTGTCTCATTACCCACACTGCACACAACATGCACACTACACTCCTCTGCCAAGTGTGCATTTGTTTGAAGTGCACGCAAGGGTTTGAGTGCGCAGGTTACTAGCGTGCAAAAAAAGGCAGAATTGGGACAGTGCAGGTTACGTCAGCGACTCGTCAAGAAATGGTCATTTTCAGACCTAAACTTTACCAAATTAAAAGTCATTTCGTCCGACCCTGCGGGAAACAAAAGTGGTTGTTAATGAGTTTCTCCACACACGTTAAAATACATGTATATCGGTTATCCGTAATTTGAGATAGCTGTACAATTTTAAGTGAAATGTGGGTAACTAACTGTTATCTGGTAAGTTTTTATACATCCTAAGTTTATTGTGCTAAGTGTAAAGTTTAAATTGAATTCAATTGCTTTAAAAAGTTAGTTAAGATAGATTGTCCGTAAATACATTTATGTTGCTTTCCAAGTAACATAGCAAAACTTATTAACACACAGACAGCATATATATTTCAAAAATCACACTTAAATGCATTTTCCCGACGTTTTGGTGTGAACTGCTAAGAATTATGGGCAATATCCTTCGCCAGAGTGCGCATAGATGCAGGCTACGGCAAAGTGTGGATCAGGGGCGTAAAGGGGGCGGGGCCAAAGACCTCCCTGGAGAATTGGGACGCCCTACGCACTCGCACCCATCATCGGGAATGCGCAAATGAGGGGCGCGAGGTAGGGCTGGGCGATATGGCTGAAAACTATGTCACAATATAAGTAATTCATATCGGTCGATAACGATATATATTGATTGCTTTTAATTTATTTTTTAAAACGTAAATAAATGCATTTGTCTTGTCGGCAAACACATGTTAGCAGCCTTGTTTACAGTCACGGGGGAATGAGGCTGGAGGCAAATGTTCACAAGCAGTGTCCCCCGCTTTAGTCCTGGTTTAATCCTGGTTTAGCTCCTGTTTTGGCCGTTTTTCGAGTGTCTTGTGTCCCCGTGGCGGCTCCGGAAAAAGTTAATCTCTTGCTTTTGCCGAATGCATCGAGTCTCTGTACCCACTGCCCCGCGTCGCACATGCTGTTCCTCGCACGGACGTGTTTAACCATTGGCACTGAAATACGATCTTTAGATCCATGGCTATTATAATAGATCCATGATCCATGGACGCTACGCATGGTGCGGTTGTTTTTTTGCTTTACCCAGAAAGTTTTGCGGTTTGTAGTCGGCTGTGATAGGTCGAGAAGCCTTTGCCTACATCCCCCAGAATGCCGTGCGCTTCTGACTCGGCTTCACTTCCTGTGTTTTGTTCCTGTTTTTTTCGAACGGACTGAAGTGAAACTATCGAAGTTCTATCGACCCCGTTTTCTATTGATATCAAACACGTGTCTATCGCAATATTGCTGCACCGGGTCAGTTCAATGTTCACTGTTTTGTGTCCTGGGCTGGGCGTTTTATCGCCCAGCCCTAGCGCGAGGTGGAAGTGCGAGTATTGGGACTGGGCATAAGTCTTTCTTCTTTCTTCTTTGTACTTCCTGTTTCCTGATGACCCGCCCCGCCCTCATGTGTGTCACCCGTGTCTCATCAGTCATGTATTTAAACCCTGTGTCGTACTTCTCTCCCTGTTCCGTTATTGTCATTCCTCGTCTGTGTCAGTTGTTGTCCTTGTTCCCGGTTTGGTTCTTTTTGCTGGTTCTTGATTTGTATTACTTTTTATAAAATCCATTATTTTGTTGTTCTTCCTTTTGGGTCTCCTTGTTTTTCACCAATGTGCCTTTTTTTGCTGTTGTCAGTATTTAAAAAAAAAGCAGAAAAAAACAGAATTATTGAATACTTTGAATAGATATACTTGAAACAGAATGTGAAATATTCTGTGAGTGTACCATAGACAATACTCAGACAATGCTAGCACTAAGAGTGAAGTGCTCATGGACCAAGTGTTGCTCCTAGTCGCTCCTTTTTAAAATGTTTTATTGTTTCTGAAATCCAGATTATAGACCGTAAAGTTTACTGGACAGACCCAATGCCCATAGTGTCACTCATATTGTATTTATTTATTTATCAAGGACACAAAACAGTGAACATTGAACTGACCCGGTGCAGCAAGACCAGGCTCATTTCAACACTTGCACACATTCAATATTAATCAAATGTACGATTCATTAAACATGTGAACAATGTTGCTTCCATTTCAGCCACAGTTTTAGACATCTGGTAAAGATGTTTAAGTCTGTTTGTAGTTTTAGGTCAGTGGGAAGAGTCTGGCTCTGTTAAAGGAGAAAGTGGACTGTACATAGTCTTCTTTGCTTCACTGCAGAAGAAGTCAGTTGAAACTCGAAAAAGCTATTTGAGGTTTGGGAATGTGGAGCCAAATTTATGCAAATCTTGTTGGTGGCAATGACTGTTGTGATTTTGGGCTACACAAAAACAAATTGAAATTGAAATTGGCCCGAGCAACCAATCAGGAGCAGCGCTGGAATGCCCCCGCTCGCGCTATTTGCTTGCTAAAGCTGAATCTGGGGATAGGTGGCTTCAAATGGGTCAGTTGTTTGGGCTCATCAGTTTTGGGCACGTTACTTTGAAAAAGTAATTAGTTATAGTTACTAGTTACTTCTCCCAAAAAGTAACTGAGTTACTAACGGAGTTACTCCACTATAAAAGTAACTAGTTACCAGCAAAAGTAACTATTGCGTTACTTTTTCGTTTTGTTCTGGAACATAATGTGCACTCGACGTGCGCATTTTTACCTTTACCCTCAGTGAGTCTGAAATAGTGCCAATATTTCCATCTAGAACCTGTTCACTCTTCATCTCTCTCTGTGCTGTAAGCACTAAACACCAACACGCTCCACTGTGAATGTGGAAACACCGGTGAAGCACTGACTTCAGCCCAATCAGATGAACATATATATCATATAAATCAAGTGGACAATGTGTTTGGCTACAGCAGAATATGTTTCATGCATTGTTTGTTCATACAAAACGCAAAACTATGAGTTATGGGTCTTACCTTATAAATGACCTGCACAGTCCACTTCGGTTCAGACCAGTTCCGTGTTTAAGTCCAGATAATAGTTTGAGCGTAGATATGTAATCCTCCATTTGTAAATGAGTCCAATGAGTTTTAAAAAGTAAAACAAAACACGTGTCTCGTCCATAAACTCCTCTGTTTTGCTGCAGCCGGGTGCATCCCATTTCTAAAATCAACCGTCTTACACTTCACCTCTCTTTCTTATCATTCCTATAGTCATTGAAAAATTACCCTAAATGCATTTTAAATTATCCTAAAATGTGTTATATGTATGTTAGCCAAACCTGTTGCTGCCCTTAGCAGATAAACCAGGAAGAGAAAGGAGCTTATCGATGGAATTGTATGCAGCCGACTTCTCCGCTCACATGTGCTCCTCTGAGGCCTCACGGTGATACAAGCCGTGGTTGAGCGCGATTAAGACCCATATTTGTTTCAAAAACACAATTTATGACCATCCTCTCAACTGTAGACGTGTAGATTGTAAAGGAAATTTGTTTTACATCAACCAATTATTGCTGAGAGGTTTTCTCATCCTCCCTTCTCTCATGACAACACGCGCACAAGTCCTATGAAGTAAAAAGAGAAGTTCATTGTGCGTCTTGAGTAACGCGCAGTAACGGGATGTCGCAAATGATAACGGCGTTATAGTTACAGTCAAAGTAATTAGTTAGATTACTCTAGTAATGCCGTTATTCCCATCACTGGGGCTCATGAATGGATTTAGGACCAAAAGATCTAAATATAAACATCACAATCACAAAGAGTGCTAAACCATGGATTTACAGGCCCAAAATAGTGAGTGTGATACAAACCTGCAGTTTACTTTTCCATGAGGGACAGTGAGTGACCAACACACGCTGAAATAACCTGCCTTTTTTACTATTTCCTTTAACATGTTACAGAGTGAGTTTTGTTTGTGTGTTCATGTCCTGGTTATCTGTATGTCTGTCTGTTCAAAAAGCATAAACATTTAATCAAAATTATAAAATCTATGATTGCAACCGCCGTATGACATCATAATATGCAAATGAGAGGGGTAAATCCATACGTAAAATGTGGGCCATGCTTCACTGCAAATAATGAGAAAATAAGAGGTAATAAATTCTTGAATCGAGAGGTTTTATCCTAATTTAAGCACATTCTGACCAATGGGACTAGAAAATGAAGACTTATTTTATCATTCTAAGGGAGACATTTTGTATATCTTTTGAAAACAAGTCCCATTGCTTTGTCCCACTGACAGATCTTGTTTTAAGGCAGTCAGAATGTGCTCAGATTAAGATACATGTTTCCAAATTAGAGCATTTTTAGATTTATTTTTCATCACTTTTTGCAGTGTCAATATTTCTCTAATTTACAGAAAGCCTTTATCTCTTATCACTTTTAAGTTATTGCCTTGTGAAATTAAAATGATATAATCGAGTGTTTAAGGAAAAAACCTCTGGCGCTTAAAGGCTTAAAATAGACATGACTCCAAAGAGAATCATCCAGGATCAATGTTAAATTCTCGAATCCTTTGGGGAGCTTTCTGAAACCTTAACCCGAGCCACAGGTTGGAGACCCCTGCTCTAAAGCCTGCTCTGCTCTCTATAGTTTAGAAGGCTTCAAACACGGCAGCCGGCGCGGAGCCAAGAAGGTGATGATTGTGATCACAGACGGAGAGTCCCACGACAGCCCGGACCTGCAGCAGGCCATCGAGGAGAGCGAGAAGGAGGGCATCACCCGCTACGCCATCGCGGTCAGTCCAACACCCACAGCACACTGACGCTTCGGCACATACTGTATATACACTAAACCCTAACCCTATTATCATTATTATCTGTTTATTCTATGTGCTTTTCCTGTTTGGCAAAATGGGTGAAAAGACAAGGAAGAAAAATGTGTGTCTAATATGAGATTTGAAGTTTGCGCAAAGACACAATAAAGCAGGGGTGTCCAAACCAGTCCAGAAAGGGCCGCTGTGGCTGTTGGTTTTCTATCAGACCCAACAGGAGCAAAGCAGACTCCACCCATTTCCTCAAATCTTCGACTGAACTCACTTGATGAAATGGGTGGAGTCTGCTCTGCTCCTGTTGGGTCTGATAGAAAACCTGCAGCCACAGCGGCCCTTTCTGGACCGGTTTGGACACCCCTGCAATAACGTTTTCATGGAGGTGGGGCTAAAGGTTGGCTGGAGCATTTGATGCTTTTTATGGCAACCCAGTCTTTGGGTTGTCATTGTTGGTTTAAATAAAGATTTTCAAACTACAGTGACGAAACCTTCTCAGTGACATGCCTTTGTACTATGTGTACAAAGGCACATAGTGTGTGTGTGTGTGTGGTGTGTGTGAGGGAGAACTTTGGATCCTACTGTGGAAACACGATAGGATCCACAGTAGTAGGTTTAATTTGAAATGAAAATGAGATAAATGAAAGGAAGGTCTTGTTTTTTGTCGTTGTGGTTTTGTCAGGGAAAACTGTGATTAGAACGGCATTAACAATGACAAAATGATCCTATTTCATAAAGATACAATACATGTCTTTCTTGGAATGAAAAAAAAACGTCAAAATGTTCCTTGTCAAGACAATCCTTTTAACACATCCAAACCTTACTACAGCCAAAATAAGTCTGAAGGTGCGAATGTTTGGACCCAACATTCCTGTTAATGAGAACAACAAAGGCATAGACTTGTCAATGTATCAAATTTTGAAAGAATATTAAAGGGGATAAGGCTAGAGCAAGAACTGGGACAGCCTGCAGAGTTTATCTCGAATACTAACCCTTGTATTATAATCCGTAATTTCATTGAAAACTTGAGCTCATTGACTCAGCTTGTGTATGAATTCAGGCCGTAAAAAGTGCTGAGTAGAGACTTAGCGGGCCGTTAGATCTCCTCCACTCACAGAACGAGCAGCAAACAGCCTGCGTCCTCTGGCCTCTACAGCGCTGGTAAACACTGGGGCTTTGACTTCCAAATTCAAATATAATTCAAAATCAAAAAATATTAATATATTTGAACGAATATTAGACAGCCCTTAATATTCTAAATGTATTATCATTGCCTGTTGGTGTGGATTCCTCTCTCGATGTTGGCCTCCTCAAGGTTTTCTTGCTTCGCTGACGCAGTTCTCATTTTATTTTAGTCATTCCTTTCTGATAGGTTTAAGGACAGTGATGACATTTATGGACAGTGGTCATCCTGCTCCCTGTGTGCCAATGGCTTTTTTTTTTTTTACTGTAGCTTTCAGTTGGTTTGGTTTTAGTTTGACTTCCTGTCTTGTTGATTTTGATGAGTTTCACCTCTGTCTCTCAGAATCAGAATCAGAATCAGAATCATTTTTATTGCCAACGTAAGTAACGGGAGGTCACAGACTTGGAAATTGCTTTGGCTCAGTGCAACAGTCAAAAGAGATAATAAAAATAAGAATAAAAAACACTTCTAAAGAATAAATTTAAATTTAAAATAGAGTTACAGTTACTATTTACAATATACAAGTGCACATGGTGCACACAATGTAAGGTGACAGCAGTACAGTGAAGTAAAGTGACGTATGATGGGCAGTAAAGTGACTTTATAAAGGGCGGGGGGACAGGTTAAGAAGTGTTCAAGAGTCCAACAGCAGAGGGGAAGAAACTGTTCTTGTGGCGGGAGGTTCTAGTCCTGATGGACCGCAGCCTCCTGCCTGAGGGGAGTGGTTGGAATAGTCCATGTGCAGGGTGAGAGGGGTCGGCTGTGATACGACCAGCCCGGCCTCGAGCTCGGGCGACGTACAGGTCCTGCAGCGATGGAAGGCTGCGGCCGATCACTTCCTCTGCAGAGCGCACAATGCGCTGTAGTCTCTGTTTGTCCCTGACTGTGGCTCCAGCGAACCACACGGTGATGGAGGAGGTGAGGATGGACTCGATGATGGCCGTGTAGAACTGCACCAACATCTGTGCAGGCAGCTTGGCTTTCCTGAGCTGCCGCAGGAAGTACATCCTCTGCTGGGCCTTCTTGATGAGGGAGCTGATGGTCGGCTCCCACTTGAGGTCCTGGGTGATGGTGGTGCCCAGGAAACGGAAGGACTCCACAGAGGTGATGGGGGAGTCCATCACGGAGGGGGGGGCGGGGGGACAGTGCTCTTCCTGAAGTCCACAATCATCTCCACTGTCTTCTGGGCGTTCAGCTCCAGGTTGTTACCACTGCACCAGGACACCAGCCGGTCCACCTCCCTCCTGTAGGCGGACTCATCGTTGTTGGAGATGAGTCCAATGAGGGTGGTGTCGTCCGCGAACTTGATCAGCTTCACGGAGTCGTGGCTGGAGGTGCAGTGGTTGGTGTACAGGGAGAAGAGCAGGGGAGAAAGAACACAGCCCTGTGGGGCTCCTGTATTTATAATCCGAGAGTCCGAGACATTCTTCCCCAGACGCACTCGCTGCTTCCTGTCCGTCAGGAAGTCTCTGTGTCTATATGTACTTGTGGTCTATTGTATTGTCAATGTCTGTTCTGTTCAGTCCTGTTTATGGTTCCTTGTACCATTGGATTTTGACTTTTGTTTTTCACTGGTCTTTAATTCATCATTATTAGTAAGTAAGTAAGTAAGTAATCTTTATTTATATACCGCCTTTTCACTGCACATCGGAGTCTCAAAGCAGTTTACAATTGTTATTTTTGGGAGTGGGGGTGCCAGTACAGGAGGCACATGCCAGACCTATTGTACATATTTTTAGTGGTAGGGGAAACCGGAGCACCCGGAGGAAACCTACGCAGACACGGGGAGAACATGCAAACTCCACTCAGAAAGGCCCTGGTTCATCAATCATATATATTTTTGCTTTCCTTCTTCATCTCACCATGTAGCATCCTTTGTATTCATTATTATTGCATGTCCTGTGTTTGAACTGTTTGACATTGATTCTCTGATCTGCTATGGTAAACCCACAACTTTGTCAAATCCTCCCATATATGGCTATGCAAATATAAATGGAATTGAATTGAATTGAATTGACAAAAATGTAGCATGGTTAACAATTCATAAGTGGCCATTTAGCATCTGATACATTTCTAATCAAAATTAGAGTTGTATTTTTTTCTTTACAACAAATATATCGAGTTCTCCTCAAATATTCACTGGATTTACTGTATCTAGTCCCAAAGATGTGTTTCTGCTCACCTGCTGTGATGGTCTTAAATCATCCCGGGAAGCTGAGGCATGTGTTTACGGCTCTTGTGGGAGAGACAAACCTTTGAGGTCATGTCGTCAGCAACATTCGGTCTCACAGTTCTTTCCCAGTGGACCATACGTCTCTCCATAACCTCCCCCCTGTCCTTCCTCCACTCGCTCCAGGTGCTGGGCTACTACAACCGCAGAGGCATCAACCCGGAGGCCTTCCTCAACGAGATCCGCTACATCGCCAGCGACCCAGACGACAAGCACTTCTTCAACGTGACCGACGAGTCCGCACTCAAAGACATCGTGGACGCCCTGGGAGAGCGCATCTTCAGCCTGGAAGGTCGGTCCGTGTCCACAGGGAATGAATAGAGCCTTGTACACAAAACTGATTACCGGTACTGTAGAAAATCTAGTCGGAGATGATCTGACCTTAAGCTATGAGTGCGAGAGAAAACTGGATAACTCGCTTAGTCCAATTATTCAGATCAATTCAGGGAAAAACACACTTGCATTAGAAATATATGAATTTGGAACATGTAGGCCACGCCCTCATTGCAACACTCGGTCCCTTGCCGTATATGTTAGGAAAAAGTACAACTTGTACTGCAAATACTGCAACGTTACAGTACTATTGTTTATACTGTTTCCAATCTTTTAGAATGGGACGTCAAACCTGGCTTCTCCTGGCAGATAAATTTCATTGTTTTGGCCTTCTTTCCGAGATCCCTAATGAGTACCGCTTTTTTCCCCCTGACATCAATGAACCGATCCGTGGAGAGGTCAAATGTGCAGCTCATGCACATTTACAGTGTATACTTACAGGAACTGGAGGCTTTCGGCGATGAAGAATGTGCATTTACCATCAGAGGAGGAAAAAACTCATTTACAACTTCCACTAAAGGATGTCATAGATGTTAAAGGGCAACACACACTTTCTGATTTTACAACAAATGGCCACACATACACAACCAATACAGACAAAAAAAGTGTTTGTGTTATTCAGAAGCTCCAAAAAATGTTCTTTTTTTTTCAATATTTTGCTAGGGAAGCCAAAAAAAGACAAAAAAAGTAAAGTACTGCTGAATTACCTGACATGTTTCGATGGTACACTTTGCCTTCGTCAGAGGAGACACGTGATGGTGTGAGGCGTCTCTTATCAGCTGTTGTTGCCAGATGTGGTCAGTCTGACACAGATTCTTCAGACTGACCGCGTCCCCTGCTGCGTTGTAGTCTCTGGAGAAGTGAATCCTAAGTGTGAGCCAAGGTGAAAGCCCCCTTGTCTCTGTTGATGTTCCGTGCACCCTGCTCCCTGATTTATGAGACGATTGAGGGGCCAATCTGACGGATCTGTGAGATCTATCAGACTGACCACAACAACAGCAGATAAGAGAAGAAGATATCCTTCATTGATCTCTTGTCACACCATCACTTGTCTCCTCTGACGAAGGCGGAAGTCTACTGTCGATGTGGTAATCAAGCAGTACCAACGTTCTTTACTTTTTTGTCTTAATAAAAGAACCTTCTAAGTCTTCAACATAAACAGACAAAATGTATCCATTTTCTCTTGCTTGGTGTTGGCTCCACATACATGACATGACTGTGAAAGTGCTGTGTGGAAATCCTCCAGATGACTTCCTGGTGTGTCTGACAGCTCTCTCTCTCTCTGACTCAGGCACCAGTAAGAACGGCACAGCGTTTGGTCTACAGATGTCCCAGGCTGGTTTCTCCGCACACACGGTGGAGGTGAGTGACACATCTCAGGCTTATGCTGTCGCCCCTTTCAATTCTGCAAATACTGTCCATCTCAAAACAGTTTGGCATCTGTCACAACTTATTCAGAGAAACACTTGGTGAGCTCAAAAATACCGTGTTTTCAAATAAGAAGAAGACGCCGTGTTGTGGTGTGATTTAGCCTCAACATTTTGAAAGGGTTCGAGTTTATGTGATATTAATCCAAACAAAAAGTGAGGTAATCTATCTTTAACCCTTTAGTGGTTTTCTCATCCTTTTGTTGCATCACTTTTGGAGTCACTAAATCTACTTAAAGCTTGGAACTGAAATCTACTGTACCTCATTGGGGCGTCTCTATCACTTGGTTTTAGGCACTTTTACCATCAACCTGCAGCCCTGAGATAGTGACCTGCACCGACGGCACGTGCCCAAGCACTGATAAATCCGTGGCCGGAGGCACGGAATGGCTTTTTCCTGCTGTAGTACACAGTGAAAAGATTGAAGTCACAATTAAAGAGGGGGTTCCTTCAACTGTTTTACGGACGAATGTCCGGGCGAAGCCCGGACATTCGTCCCCCAAGCCCGACGGCGCGTGCCCAGACACTGACAAAACAGTGCCGGAGCACTGAATGGCATTGCACCTTCACAACACAGTGTAATCAATGGGGTCCTATGGGGGGGGTGGAGACTCATTGATGGCCGAGGAGATTGACGACGCTTTAGCGCTCGTCAATCACCGAGAAACCCAATACTTTTACCATCAACCTGATTCAAAAAAAATTCCTTATTTATTTAATATTTCTTTTTTTCTTCTGCAACTTTGAACTTAAATTTGACCCCACTGAACATTGATGAAAAGTTGTGAAATTTTGCCCAAAATTCAGAACCGGTGAAAAATTAATTTTTTTGGTGTTTATTTTTATGGGACTAAAAAAATGACCGAACAGCGCCCCTACAAAAGTCAGTTGACATTGCGCCTATGGGAGGGGGTCGGAGGTCCAAGTTTGTCGTAGAGCCACAAAATTCGGTGCAACATGTTCCTCAGGTCAAGAACATGAAAAAAAAGTTATTATGGCTCGCCCCCTGACAAACAGAACTCATTAATTTAATTGGAAAAATGGAAAAATGAAAATTGATCTTTTTCACACATGTCGGCTGGAAATTAACTCCTCCTCGGCCGCTTCACCGATTTGTCTCAAAATCGCTCAACAATGGTCAAAACCCATTCCCATCTATTATTGAATATAAATTTGGATCAATTAAACGTTGTCACGAGCAGCGAGCGGCAAAATGTGACATTTTTTGGGATTTTTGACAAAAGTAAATTTTGCACCCATTTGCACAAACAAAGCCGGATTTGCACCAAATTTTAATCCATTGTTCAGCTCCATGGTCTAAGGTCATCTGAAAGTGGAAATATGAAATTGGCTCATTAGCGCCCCCTACAGACTATGTTAAAGTTTTACATGGCTTTTTAAAATTTAGTTTTGTCAAAATAGTTTGAAATTTGCACATAATTCCTTAGTTTTTTTCATCTGGATTCAAAAAGTCCATGACAAAATGATTTAATTTTTTACCTGTTTCCGGTGGCGACGACCAACACTCCCCTTTCTGTGTCTATAGAAAAATCGTTAAATCTCTGAAAAGTACACTCGCTCAAACATCAAACCAGCCAACGGCCTTTCCTATTTGTCTGAAAATCTGCTCCACATGTGTCCACACATGTACCATCAATAGTTGCATATAGATTTTTAATTAGTCAAACGGTCCTCAGCGTGACAGACCCCCAAAGTGTGGTCATTTTCATAGAGAGGTGTGAAGTTCCCATGTTATCCAATGAGACTGTATGGGACACACTCACAGATTGTATGTACCCACAGGAGCACATTTACAAACACAGCACTAAACATGAACTTGTTGTTCAACTCCTTGGCCTAGGTCACATGACAGTGTGAACAATGACATTGGCCATTAGCGCCCCCTACAGTGCCCGACTGAGTAAAGTTTACTGGGGATAAAGTATTTATGTTTTTCTGTCAATTTGATCTCATATTTGACCACTGAACATGCACAAAAACTCCCCAACTTTGCCACAACTTTTTTTCAGGCATTAAGTGTAATATTTTGGTGATCTAGTACTGGTAATAAGGTTCACACCTAATGACATTGAAATTGGTAGGGGGCGCTGTTGTACAACATTAAATGTCCACCATTTGCACATACAAAGTCTGATTTTGCACAAAATTTTGAATTGCTTGTTCAACTCTCGGGTTTGGGTAAACTGAAGTGAGAATCATGAAATTGCAGCAATAGCGCCCCTACAGACTGATTCAAGTGTTACATTGGGAAAAGAGGTTTATCTATTCAGTAGAGACACAAAATCACTGCTCATGGAACTCAAAAGGCCCATTGTCGCTCACCATCAGGGACGGTAGAAAAATGGCGCGTCAGCGCCACCTCGGTGCGTGGTAGGGCGGCGAGGGCCGTTAGACAGCCGCTTGCGGCTATAATTTGGTTGTGTTTCCTCCTGTGACTCAACAAGATTCATTATTTGACTGAAAGGAAAAACACACAAATCGGCAATACAGATAAGAAAAACAGCCTGTAATGGTGGATATCGTGCAGATAATCATTTTGACTTCTGCTTCTTTCTCTAATTGGACAGGATCAGGTTCAAATGCAGTAAAAGGCTTTGAAGATCCATCTCCACTCTTGTCTCTCTTGGTCTGCTCAGCTTAGTGGTCCGCGCCCCCCACTTTGAGAAATGCTGTCCTGAGCTGTGTACCGCTCAGTGTCACCGCTTTTATCTCCTCCGCTGCAAACATCGATTTGAGCCTCATTCAAGATGGAGCCACTATTAACACACTGAAGGAAAACACATTAAATCACAGTTAAAAGTCAATATTTACAACACTTACCCTTTAAAACTGAGAAAAGCTAGACCTCCTGACTTTGTGTTGTTTTGCTCCATTACAGGGAGTTTTGTAAAAGAAAATGTTGTTGAAGAAAGAGCCCTGGAGTCACTTATGACTCCAGCGGCTGAGGGATGGTTTTCTCGCCTTCACTTCTCTGTCTTAAAAAGTTGATGTGATGTGAAGATGTGACTGAGACAGATATACAGGTAGGTGAAAACCTAGCGGCCAAACAAACTAGACAGATTAAATCACATATTTCAGATTGTTTAAAGTCAGGGTATCCCCACCCCAGCTTAAAACCTATTTCTCTCAGTATACTACATGTCATCTTGTGTGTTGTGTGTGTGTGCGTGTGCGTGTGTGTGAGTGGTGTTTGTGGTGTGTGTGTGGAGTGTGTTACCTCTGTCAATACCCAATCCATTTTATTTGTATTAGCCGTCATTGTAGGACTAGTTCCACCGGGTTCATGGAGTCCACGGTGTCCAGACTTTGGACTAGTCCTCAGTCCAGGGAGTCCCCGGGTGTCCAGACAGGACTATTCCTCAGGTCCAGGGAGTCCACGGTGTCAGACTGTGACTTGTCCTCAGGTCCAGGGAAGTCCACGGTGTCCAGACTGGACTTGCCTCAGGTCCAGCGAGTCCACGGTGTCAGACTGGTACTAGTCCCTCAGGTCCAGGGAGTCCACGGTGTCAGACTGGGACTTGTCCTCAGTCCAGGGAGTCCCCACGTGTAGTCAGACTGGGACTAGTCCTCAGGTCCGGGAGTCCAACGGTGTCAGACTGGACTAGTTCCTCAGTCCAAGGAGTCCCACGGTGTCAGACTGGGACTAGTCCACCGGTTCAGGGAGTCCCGGTGTCAGAACTGGGACTAGTCCTCAGGTCCAGGAGTCCAACGGTGTCATACTGGGACTGAGTCCACAGGTCCAGGAGTCCAGGGTTTTTCGAGTCTCATCCGTGCATTCATAATGATAATGTATTGGTTTCATACAGCTCTTTTCTGGATCTCAAAGACTCTTCACATGTTATATTCCTTTCACTCCATGGAAGGTTCATCAACCCAGCCGCACGTGTGTTTGCTGTGTGTGTGTGTTTCTGTGTGTGTGTGTGTGTGTGTGTTTCTGTGTGTGTGTGTGTGGTGTGTGTAGCATTAAAACCCGCTCCTCTCTCTGCTCCTGTATAAACGTGAGGTTACCAGTGACTTTTGTGGTTATCTTCTCCGGGCTGCGCCCGGAGATTGTGACTTAAAACAGTTCAACGAGTAATGCCTGGGCTTCGCCCAGGCATTACTCGTTGGAAAAGCAATAGGCCCTTACCCCGGTTGGGGCTCGGGCCTAATTAAAGCCGCAAGCGGCATCTAACGGCCCTCGCCGCACCGCGCAAAGGAGGTGGCGCTGACGCGCCATTTTCCTACCGCCCTGATGGGAGCGACACTGTGCATTTTGAATTACTATGATCAGTGATTGTGTGTGTCTATTGAAAAGGTAAACCCCAGTCTCTCCATGTAACACTTGTATCACTCTGTAGGGGGCGCTAATGCTGCATTTCCATGATTTACACGTTCAGTTTACTCAAACCCAAGAGTTGGACTATCAAATCAAATTTTGTGCAAATCGGACCTTTTATGTGCAAATGGCGGCATTTAATGTTGTACAACAGCGCCCCCTACAATTTAATTTTTTTAGTGTTATACCAAAGAAAACCAAAATAATAGACTTTATGCCTGAAAAAAACGTGTGGCAAAGTTTGGTGATTTTTTATGTTTGTTATGTGGGTCAAATATGAGATCAAACAACATAAAACCTAAATACCTGTATCCCCATGTAAACCTTTACTCAGCCTGTAGGGGGCGCTAATGGGCCAATGTCATTGTTCACACTGTCATGTGACCTAGGCCCAGGAGTTGAACAACCGAGTCAAGTTTAGTGCTAATCAGAGTTTGTAAATGTGCTCCTGTTTGTTCATACAATCTGTGAGTGTGTCCATACAGTCTCCATTGGATAACATGGGAACTTCACACCTCTCAATGAAAATGACCACACTTTGGGAGTCTGTCACTCTCAGACCGTTTGACTAATTAAAACTCTATATGCAACTATTGATGGTCCATGTGTGGACACCATGTGGAGCGATTTTCAGACAAATTAGGGAAACGTCCGCGGCTGGTTTGATGTTTGAGCGATGTGTAGTTTTCAGGGATTTAACGATTTTCTCATAGACACAGACAGGGGAGTGTTGGTCGTCGCCACGGCAACAGGGTAAAAAATCATCATATGTTGTCATTGACTTTTTGAATCCAGATGACAAAACAGAATTATGTGCAAAATTTCAAACATTTTGACAAAACTAAATTTTAAAAAGCCCATGTAAAACTTTAACATAGTCTGTAGGGGGCGCTAATGAGCCAATTTCAATATTTCCACTTTCAGATGACCTAGACCCTGGAGATGAACAATGGATTAAAATTTTGTGCAAATCCGGCTTTGTTTGTGCAAACGGGAGCAAATTTACTTTTGTCAAAAATCCCCAAAAAAATGTCACATTTTGCCGCTCCGCTGCTCGGACAACGTTTAATTGATCCAAATTCTATATTCAATAATAGATGGGACATGGGTTTAGACCATGTGGAGCGATTTTGAGACAAATCGGTGAAGCGGCCGAGGAGGAGATAATTTCCAGCCGACATGTGTGAAAAAGATCAATTTTCATTTTTCCATTTTCCAATTAAATTAATGAGCTTCCTGTTTGTCAGGGGTCGGAGCCATAATAACTTTTTTTTCATGTCTTGACCTGAGGAACATGTGTACCGAGTTTCGTGGCTCTGCGACAAACTTGACCTCCGACCCGCTCCCATAGGCGCAATGTAAACTGACTTTTGTAGGGGGCGCTGTTCGGGCATTTTTTTTTTCCCATAAAAATAAACACCAAAAAAATTAATTTTTCGCCGGTTCTGAATTTTGGGCAAAATTTCACAACTTTTCATCAATGTTCAGGGGGTCAAATTAAGGCTCAAAGCGCAGAAGAAAAAAGAAATAATAATAATAATTAAAGCCGCAAGCGGCATCTAACGGCCCTCGCCGCACCGCGCAAAGGAGGTGGCGCTGACGCGCCATTTTCCTACCGCCCTGATGGGAGCGACACTGTGCATTTTGAATTACTATGATCAGTGATTGTGTGTGTCTATTGAAAAGGTAAACCCCAGTCTCTCCATGTAACACTTGTATCACTCTGTAGGGGGCGCTAATGCTGCATTTCCATGATTTACACGTTCAGTTTACTCAAACCCAAGAGTTGGACTATCAAATCAAATTTTGTGCAAATCGGACCTTTTATGTGCAAATGGCGGCATTTAATGTTGTACAACAGCGCCCCCTACAATTTAATTTTTTTAGTGTTATACCAAAGAAAACCAAAATAATAGACTTTATGCCTGAAAAAAACGTGTGGCAAAGTTTGGTGATTTTTTATGTTTGTTATGTGGGTCAAATATGAGATCAAACAACATAAAACCTAAATACCTGTATCCCCATGTAAACCTTTACTCAGCCTGTAGGGGGCGCTAATGGGCCAATGTCATTGTTCACACTGTCATGTGACCTAGGCCCAGGAGTTGAACAACCGAGTCAAGTTTAGTGCTAATCAGAGTTTGTAAATGTGCTCCTGTTTGTTCATACAATCTGTGAGTGTGTCCATACAGTCTCCATTGGATAACATGGGAACTTCACACCTCTCAATGAAAATGACCACACTTTGGGAGTCTGTCACTCTCAGACCGTTTGACTAATTAAAACTCTATATGCAACTATTGATGGTCCATGTGTGGACACCATGTGGAGCGATTTTCAGACAAATTAGGGAAACGTCCGCGGCTGGTTTGATGTTTGAGCGATGTGTAGTTTTCAGGGATTTAACGATTTTCTCATAGACACAGACAGGGGAGTGTTGGTCGTCGCCACGGCAACAGGGTAAAAAATCATCATATGTTGTCATTGACTTTTTGAATCCAGATGACAAAACAGAATTATGTGCAAAATTTCAAACATTTTGACAAAACTAAATTTTAAAAAGCCCATGTAAAACTTTAACATAGTCTGTAGGGGGCGCTAATGAGCCAATTTCAATATTTCCACTTTCAGATGACCTAGACCCTGGAGATGAACAATGGATTAAAATTTTGTGCAAATCCGGCTTTGTTTGTGCAAACGGGAGCAAATTTACTTTTGTCAAAAATCCCCAAAAAAATGTCACATTTTGCCGCTCCGCTGCTCGGACAACGTTTAATTGATCCAAATTCTATATTCAATAATAGATGGGACATGGGTTTAGACCATGTGGAGCGATTTTGAGACAAATCGGTGAAGCGGCCGAGGAGGAGATAATTTCCAGCCGACATGTGTGAAAAAGATCAATTTTCATTTTTCCATTTTCCAATTAAATTAATGAGCTTCCTGTTTGTCAGGGGTCGGAGCCATAATAACTTTTTTTTCATGTCTTGACCTGAGGAACATGTGTACCGAGTTTCGTGGCTCTGCGACAAACTTGACCTCCGACCCGCTCCCATAGGCGCAATGTAAACTGACTTTTGTAGGGGGCGCTGTTCGGGCATTTTTTTTTTCCCATAAAAATAAACACCAAAAAAATTAATTTTTCGCCGGTTCTGAATTTTGGGCAAAATTTCACAACTTTTCATCAATGTTCAGGGGGTCAAATTAAGGCTCAAAGCGCAGAAGAAAAAAGAAATAATAATAAATAAACCAAACCAAGGAATTTTTTTTGTAAATCTTCGAGCAAAAACAATATAGGTTTCCATAGTAACCTATAATACAAATGATACGTCGTTTTAAAGCGAACGACGAGGCGAACGCAACTATTGGGTTCTCGGTGATTGACGAGCGCTGACGCGCTCGTCAATCACCTCGCCATCATGAGGTCACCCACCCCCCCCATAGGACCCCATTCATTACACTGTGTACTACAGCAGGAGCAAAGCCATTCAGTGCCTCTGGCACTGTTTTGTCAGTGTCTGGGCACGCGCCGTCGGGCTTGGGGGACGAATGTCCGGGCTTCGCCCGGACATTCGTCCATAAAACAGTTGAAGGAACCCCCCTTTAATAGGACTTCAATCATTTCACTGTGTACTACAGCAGGAACAAAGCCATTCCGTGCCTCCGGCACGGATTTATCAGTGCTTGGGCACGTGCCGTCGCGTGCAGGTCACAATCTCCGGGCTGCGCCCGGAGATTGTGACTTAAAACAGTTCAACGAGTAATGCCTGGGCTTCGCCCAGGCATTACTCGTTGGAAAAGCAATAGGCCCTTACCCCGGTTGGGGCTCGGGCCTAATAAATAAACCAAACCAAGGAATTTTTTTTGTAAATCTTCGAGCAAAAACAATATAGGTTTCCATAGTAACCTATAATACAAATGATACGTCGTTTTAAAGCGAACGACGAGGCGAACGCAACTATTGGGTTCTCGGTGATTGACGAGCGCTGACGCGCTCGTCAATCACCTCGCCATCATGAGGTCACCCACCCCCCCCATAGGACCCCATTGATTACACAGTGTACTACAGCAGGAGCAAAGCCATTCAGTGCCTCCGGCACTGTTTTGTCAGTGTCTGGGCACGCGCCGTCGGGCTTGGGGGACGAATGTCCGGGCTTCGCCCGGACATTCGTCCGTAAAACAGTTGAAGGAACCCCCCTTTAATAGGACTTCAATCATTTCACTGTGTACTA